ATTGCACATTAAATATAAAAATTCCATAACTTTAATAAAATGCTCAAATCAATACCTCAACATTTCAAACATTTATAATTTCAACTCAAACTTTCCTGACTTTCGATTTTCAACCACCAAACTTAATAAATTTTCAATTCAACCTCAATTCAATATTTAATTCAAAATTTAGCATATTAATAAATTTTGCAGCATTCAATAATTTACTCCAATAATATTTAAACAAAGAATTCATTTCCACTTAAATATAATCAAACATTTAAACATTACTCTTCAGTTTTTAATCCATTTCCACTTAAATTCTAAAATTTTCATATTCAGACAACTCACACTACATTTAAATAATCAATATTATGTATTGATATACACACTGGAATTTAATTTCGTTTCTTTCGTTGAAAATTATACTCGAATACAAATCTATCCATATAAAGAACTCCTTCTGGTTCATTTTGTACAATTTATGGTAAATTTTCAAAGTTGACCAACATAATCTGTTTTGTGCAGAATCTGCTGCCCCGTTTTTCTGACCTTTCCTTGGTTAAAAATTCATATTTTTTGTATATACCTTGGAATTGATCTCCGTTTGTTTGAAACAAAGCTAGATTGATATAAGAACACAAATATATAAAAATAACCTCCAAATCATTTTTATATAATTTCTGGTGAATTTTCAAACTCACTGCCAAATTCAAAAATCTAAACTGTTTTCATTAATTTGCACCTTAGTTTCTTCATCAATTCTTACAACCAATTATTTCAAAATCACTAAACTCTTCATAACCCTAAATCATAAAATCTCATCATACATTTATCTTCACAATTAAATTTTGGTACCAAATGATAGATAATTTCATGTAGATTAATTCTCTATCTACTAGCTAAACTCAAAAATCAAGGAATTAACTTCAAAAATCAAACTAAAGTTCTTAACTTTTAAAACCTGAACTTTCAACCCTCGGAGAAAGAAGCTGAAAATGTTCAACATTTCTTGATTATTCTAATGATAATTATCTCTTAAAATACATGTCATTATCCAATATAAATGAATTTTAAATTTATTTAATCCACTTTATCATGTTGCCTTAATAAAACTTAATAATTTCATCTATGCCACTCCATGACATCATCTCTTACATCATCAAATCCATAAAGAAAATATCTCAATTATGATTTTATACTTCTATCCTTGAAAATTTCAAACCATGCAATTTAGTCACTAAATTTCTTCAATTTGGATAAATAAAGAAAATTATATCCAAATTCATTGATCCATAACAATTTCCACTGTTATAAAATATGGAAATAATATTTCCAACAATTTTCTAACATCCTTCAAATTTTCATAAAATTCCAATTCGATCTGAATATTCGATTTCAATACGGAACTTTACTACTTTATAGCTTTTAACACAATTCCCTTACCAAAAATCTGATTCCCATTAAAATCTTTGTTTTAATCAAATTGTTCATTTACAGGATAAAATATATAACTTCTAAAAATTACAATTTCGGTCCTTAAACTTTTCAAAGTTTATACTTTAGCCACTAAACTTTCAAAACATACATTTTAATTACTGGTCAAAATTTGGGGTATTACATTTGAAGTATTCATGCTCCCATGTCATAGCAGCTTGCTCTTATACCTGTCAAGATTTTAACCATTTTGCGGATCTCGTATACCGACTTTTAGAAGATATATGAATTTGAGTTTCCCCTCATAGGTAATGAAAAAGACCCAGACGAGGTTCAGAATTAGCTTCTGATTGTATAGGTCGTCCAAAATCCACTCGAATTCACTATGATATAGATATTCGAGAGACATACAAAGAAAAAAAAGATACGGGCATTGTAGAAACATAGGCCATAATAGGAAAAATGTCCATCTTGATCACGTAACAATTGATGTTGTACTAATGAAATTGTTTTTTTTTTCTGAAATATCAGTTTGTGTTATTTCATTTTCGTTTAAGTTCAAGTAATGAGCTACTCAAGTAAAGATTAAGTACAAAAATTGGACAAACTAAATAATAAAATCAATTCAACAAATTAATTAATAGACAAAAAATGAATATATAAAAAGTCGTTATTATATACAAATATTACATTTGCTGTTAAATAAAGAAAACTAAATAAAAATATTACAAACTAAACAAGTCTATCGATGTATGCGTCTCGAATGTGTTCCATAGGGCTGTGGATGTCTATTTCAATGAAGGTTTCTTTGTTTAAGTTGTTCTTTCTCCTCACTCTCATCATCATCAGCAGCAGCAGTGAATATATTTTGTTAATCAGGGAAAGATGTCGATGTACCACCTCTATAGAATAAGGACCTGGAGATGTATAACTAGCCATCCTAGCGCTCATAGAAAACTGTGAAAACATAGACATCAATGAATGCAAAAATTGGGTCGGAGGTGTCTGAGTCTGTGGTAGCGCGTCACCCGCCAAATAAGCAGCATATGAAGTCTACGCTGGATCTACAAGCATGGAATTGTAATATCCGCCTAGAGGGGTCATAAAACCCTATGGTGATGGCATCGAAACCTGCTGTTGTGGCATCTGAAATGGAGGTAGTGGCATCTGAAACAACTGTGGAGTCATCTAAAATATATGTATCCCCATCTGGAATGACTACAAAATGTAACCCAGTGTAGACGGTGATTGTTGTGACAATTTCGGTATTGCAGCTGAAGATGAACTGAAAGTGTCTACTCTCCATCCATGAATCAGGGACGATACGATTGTGACGGTGGATGTCTTTCTCGACGCCGATGAATGCTCTGCGCTCGTACTTCCTCGAAAAGCAAGAATTTCTTATTGTTCATGTTAAGCCACTGGTAGTAGTCATCCACAACTGAATACTGATCCACATAAATCGGCTCCATACGGGGAATGCGTCCACGTCGATCCTTCCACATCATCACCCACTCGTTGTGTTTCATCAGTCAATTGACTTCTTTTTTTCCTCGTCTATCGATGTTATGCAAATTGTCGAGATTCATATGTGCTTCTGGAATAGATTATACGAAACCAAAATATCGGAGCACGCGATTAGTCAGATACCACTCGAAAATAGCATAACATATCAGAGGGACCACCGCCATCCATACATGTAGTAGGCCACTCATATTAAGTGGGATACAATGTCTCATTTCATCAATAGCATAATGAGTTCATTGAAACTACAATAAATATATATAATTCTTTTCAAAATAATATTTTAATTATATCACGATGATCTTTCCTTACACATGATCACCTATTCAGTATAAAAAATATTTATTATATACTAAAAAATTATTTATATATGAACTCAGTATTGAAATTACCTCAGCAATAACAGGAAGACTAATGAGTTCTTCACCACCGGACATAAAAAGGGAATGCGATACCACACCCATGACTGCAGAAGTATGAGATATCCGTCAATATAATTTTTTCGATAATCAATTACTTGGCACATTTCTCTATACAAAGATACCAAAACTACGGAGCCCCAACTGGATGACCCAACAACTCGAAAATCGGTGAGGTAACACAACCACATATAATGAACTTGGTTGCGAGATTTAGCGGGCATCAAGATCCCTCATATCAGTCGTAATATGCAAGCTCGGGTAACTTTTTTAGCCTGTTCCTCGGAACAATCTTCACTCAAATGTTCAATATATGTCGTTAACCATGATAACGATATTCGACCACCATTGAAATCAGGCGGAATATCTCCAAGATACTCCTCGCACAACAAACGCCAGTCACCATCTGTCACACCCGAAATTACATCCCCATCTACCGGGAGCCCCAGATGCAAGGAAACATCCTTCAGCGTAATCGTACACTCTTCACACGGAAGATGGAACATGTGTCTCTAGTCTCCACTTCTCAACCAGTGCAGAAATAAGATTACTTTCAAGGTTGCAATGCCCTTCATATCTAGCTATGCAACTGAATCCAGCCTCCACTAAATACGGCTAGACACGACTTGATATCTCTAACTTAACATTAATATACGATCATTTTCTTAATTAAATAAATAGTATACAAATTAAAATATAAACTAATACTAAATAAATAAATAAATAAAATATTCGCAATAATTAACATAACACAATAATAAAACTAATGCAAATTAAATAAATTGTTACCGTATCGACAAAATGAGTCTAATATACGATCATTCTCTTAATTAAATAAATAGTATACAAATTAAAATATAAACTAATACTAAATAAATAAATAAATAAAATATTCGCAATAATTAACATAACACAATAATAAAACTAATACAAATTAAATAAATTGTTACCATATCGACAAAATGACTCGTGATATGATTCTTATCGAAACGCAACAATATGCCTTCCATTTTATAACTACAAAACATAAAAAAAAAATAGGGAGTAAAATACAATAAAATAATTAACTATTTAATAATTGTAATATAATAACAATAATTTTACATTCTAAGAATAATAACATAACATACTTGAGTTTTGTTAGAATGAGTTATAAGAAGAAACTATTTTCGTTTTGGTGTGATTTGAGAGTTGTATGAGAGGGTATTTATAGGAGAGGGGTAATTAAGGTGGACGTTTGGGGGTAATTTTGGAAGGTACAGATGGTGATCTGTACTTTCGTAGCGTGTCAGAATCCTAGGAAGGCGTGGATGGTGATCCGCGCTTTACCCCTATATGGTGCCCGCTCGAACGAAACCCAAGAAGACACATATGGTGATCCACGCTTTTTTGTCACGACGTCACAAAGAATGTTAGATTGATAAAATTAGGGCGATAGGTGCCTGAGAGATATTTATTTAATGGTTGGGTGGTTTTTAGGTAAAAATGCCTATATTTTTGTTAAACTCTCACTAACAATAATTTATCTAAAATTAAATGAAAAGGAAAAAAGAAAAGAAAGGACCCTGTTTATAAAAGTGGAGATGTCTTTGTCATCTTGTCCCGTCTGGCTCTTCCTCTCATTTCTCTCTATCTATTAAATGTGTTCTCTTTTTTATGTTATGTGCTAAACAATATTTTTCTCAGATCTCTCGATCTCTCCCTCTATTTCTTTCTTAATTTCGCTTCGATACGGCTAGTCTTTTATTTCTTTCTTCTCCAAGATTTTTTACATTTCGTGAATTTTGATTAATGCACGAAAAAGTAACGAAAGCTTTTTTTCTTTATGTTTGATTTAGGTTTTTTATTTTTGTCCAGGATTTTCTGCTTCTGGGCTGTGATTTTGCTCATATGATTGTAAGGTACGGCAAAGAAAGAAAAAAACATATTTTTTTTCTCGTCTTCTCTGTTTAATTTGAATTTGCATGTTGTTAAAAAATTTAGATTTTTAATTGCTCGATAAATAATGCACATTTAGCAATTCCACAAATTTGTGTGAAATTAGAATTTTTGTATATTTTTAAAAAATCATGTTTTGGGTTTATTCGAAGTTATAACCAAAGAAGGCTCTTTAGGATTGGAAATATTATGATGAAAAAAGTTGAAATATATTTTTAGAAGATTAATAGATAGTTATGATATCATCTTATCAACAACTTTAATGTAGTTATACAATAGGGTAAAATACTGGAAATTTCTCCACTCTAGAGTTTGATACGTGTGATACTGTTGATTGAAAGCTTTTGATTTTAGGTTGCTATTTTAATTGCCTATTTTGACAGTTGATATTTTCTTCCTATTCTTTTAGGGGAAAATTTAAGGTTTGATCATTGGGATGATTTGCATGTTGAACTTTTCAGAATTGGGTAGATATGTCAAAAATCATAAGAGGCTTTTGTTTTAAGGATATGCTTGCTTCTACAGAACTTAATCCATTCAAGCTCGATTTTAGTAATGGAAAAAATAGTTCTTCATCTTGGCAATCCATTTTAGGCTTGGTTATATGACAGCACAATGATTAGTATACTTTTTAGGATCCCTGCATTGGTCCTACCGTCCGGGATACTATGTCAAGTGTTTTTTTCTTTTTTTGTTTGTCAGTGCTGCAATTTAAAAATGGGTTTGTTAAATGTTCTTTGTATGTTTGCTTCTTTTCCTTTTGTGGAAGGAAATGATTTATGTTTCTAGTGAAATAGATGCGTATTATAAATTCGTATTATAAATTCCATATAAACAGAGGAGAAAGTTTGATCAGCATCAGCAAGTAATACTTTGCATGTCGTGTATCTCAGCATTAAGATGGGTAAAGAAGATACTTGTCCTGCTTTTGGATTTAGGCTGACTTTGTTCTAAATATTATGTTTCTAGTGAAACAAGAGCGTATTATAAACTCCAAATAAATAGATGAAAAGGTTTGATGAACAAGTAATACTTTGCAAATCATGTGTTTCTTTTAAGATGGATAAAGAAGATTCTTGTTTCGATTTTGGATTTAGGTAAAGTATGTGCTAAAGTTTCATTTCATTGTTTTCGGATTTAGGTTGAGTAAGTGCTAAAGTTTCATTTCATTGTTTTTGGATCTACGTGAGTATGCGCTAAAGTGTCATTTCATTGTTTTTGGATTTAGGTTGAGTATGTGCTAAATTTTCTTTCTCGTACTTCAAAGCAGTGACGGTTTGTAGCTATAATTTATTGGAATTTGGAACACCATGGGTCAAAGAAATATGCTATGCCCTAGCCAGATGATAGATTTAGAAATGGATCAGCAAGACCAGGGATATCCTCATCAGGAGGCCTGCATCATTTTGGGTGGAAGACCTAATTATCCTCCACCTGATATGCAGATGAGAATCACAGCTCCAGGGAACACAACCACTCTTGATACTCATCCCTTATCGAAGCATTATGACAATGGTATGTTCCATGGGATTCCCCAGTACCCCGGTGTTCAGCATCATAATCATTCCCCTAATCTTGATCTTGGTATTGGAAGTGCATCCAACTATTACTTTCCCTATGTGGTTATCCCTTCGTCAAGTACTCCTGTAAATCATGCACGTACAGACCAGATGCCATCTTCAAGCAACTATGGCCTGCTAGGAGTTTCAGCAGATGAATATGCTAGGGGTTGCCACTTAATGGATAATGTTAGAAGTTCGTATAAAAGAAAGAATTCTGAAGGAATCCCAGGAAATTTTCAGCATTTTAATGTTTCCTCAAGCTCTAGTTCCGCAGGTACACCTTTAAATGCTAGACATCCTGATGGAGTTAGCACAATGGATGTGGAACCCTTCACCTTTCCTCGGTATTGGGGGAATGAGCCTCCACCGATTAGAGAAGCTGGATCCCAAAGAAGTGTTAGGAACAGATTAGGGGCAACTGCTGTGGATCCCATTTTGATGCATAGTGCTAACCATGTTTTCCAAGGAAATTACATCGGTCAGACTTTTCAGCCAACAATAACAGATGTAGGTGCCCCAGCTTGGACCCAGGTTCCTGGGGTTCCTTATAGGCATGGTAGTTTCTGCATTCCTCTATTCTTTCCTAGTTTGTTTAAAGAATTTCAATTTTAAAATAAGTTATATTTTAAATATTTCTTTTTTTGAAAACAGCCTGCATGTAAACGAGTTGATGGATGAATCTGTTTTGCCTTGAAATTGATTGCTGTTGACTCTTCACTGTCTTATGCTTGTGCAGGTAGCAATGTGGCTGCACCTATGGAGACTAGTCTTAGAAGTTCCGCAAACTTTTCTCAATCTTCGCCCCTTGATGTTCGGAACCATAACTTCCATCACCCCTCGCCGCCTATCGAAGGAGTAAGAGGTCACAACATTAACATTCATCCACAAGTAGCAGCAGTTCCTCATCGCTTCCCTGCTAGTTACGCTTCACCAGGTGCCATGAATCCTTCACGTGATGGTTGGGAGGTAGGGCGTAGGCATTTGGGACCAATGCCTCCTACCGGCTTTAGGATATATCATTCCCACCGAGAGAGTGGTGTTGTAGCTGAGACATCTGTGAGACACCGCAATCTTCCTCACTTGAGAGTTATTCCACCAGATGTTAGTACGCATCATTTCTGCAATGTTATATATCTGTTAATTTTCTGTTTGTTGCTTCATTTTCTTTTCTGAAATCAGGAAAATGAAATAGGTATACAACTGTTCTATTTTTTTGTTAAATTTCTGTTTGTTGATATGGTGACATCTTTTAATCGATTTGGTGCAGGGAGTTGCTGTACTGGAGCTCCCAGAATATTATGAAGTAGGAGACTTTGTCGATCATCACAGAGATATGCGCTTGGATATAGAGGACATGTCTTTCGAGGTAAGTTCATATATTATGTTCCGTCTTGTGGTTTAACTTTATTTTTACCGACTGATCATTCAGAAATTCTCCAAATGATCACAGGAACTGTTGGCTCTGGGCGAGCGGATTGGGAACGTGAATACTGGTTTGTCCGAGGAAATCATTACAAGTAAATTGAAAACAAGAGCTTATTCAACATTTGCTACAAATATTAATCTGGAAGAAGCAGCACCCACCGACCAGGAACCTGATTCTTGCATTATTTGCCAGGTAATGAAGAGTGCTTACTGCTTAGAGCTGCATCTATAAGCTCGAACTCCACATCTCTTTCTTTGTTCAAGTTTGAAGCAGACATCTTCATCGGATGAATGGTATACGTTATTTTCCTTCAAATTTTTTTTTTTTTTGCAGGAGGATTACAAGATTGAAGAGAAAATCGGAACTCTCAATTGTGGACACAACTATCATGCAGATTGCTTGAAGAAGTGGTTGTTAGTGAAGAACGTATGTCCCATCTGCAAATCCGAGGCTTTAACCACGTGGTCCAAGAATGTATAATGGACGTGTCACAGTCAAGGAAAAGTAATAAACTACATAAAGTGATTGATGTTGGTAGAATCAAAATCTGGGAAAGCTCTCCTAGATGTTTCTAGATTGAAATTTGGTCAAGTATTTTGTACATGAACTTGCAGATATCTGAGAGACAGTCAATCCATTATTTGTTGGCTTTGTAATTATCAAACAATTGTACAGACACATCATGCAGTTCCGTGCTGCAATGTTAGCTTATGATATAATGTGCTTCTCCCAACTCTCTTAACTTTTCTATAATATTTTGTTCAATGTGTTACATTTCCACCCAGTATTTTGTTCAATTGTACAGATATCTTTGTATAGTGTATACTCTGAAATCCAATCCATTATGTATGCACGGCCTAGCAAGTAAATAACATTCCAATTTGTATAATATTTATAGCATTCACTTCAAATAAATTTAAAGGCACCGATGAAGGGAAATTTGGAAGCTGATTTTTTCTCTTTTGATTTCAATCTCAAATCTTGTGCTTAAAGAGATGAAAAATGGAGGATACATCATATAACATTTAGGTAGAACAGCAGCCGGCATTTTTGACAGCTGAAACATCATCCTTGCCTCCGATATTGATGGATTGTCCCTTTGGCAATGTTGCAGGATCATCCCCTCTTTCAAGTGCTTTTCGACTGGCGACACGATATATTTGCTTAAGTACATCGGTGAATGCACTCTCAACATTTGTAGTCTCAAGGGCAGATGTCTCCATGAAGAAGGTATTTTCTCTCTCGGCAAAGGCCTCAGCATCATCAGTGGTAACAGCACGCAAGTGCCGCAGGTCCGCCTTATTACCAACAAGCATAATCACGATGTTGGCATCCGTGTGACCTCGTAGTTCCTTCAACCATCTCTCAACATTCTCAAATGTGACATGTCGAGTGACATCATAGACGAGTAACGCACCAACAGCTCCACGGTAGTATGCACTTGTAATCGCCCGGTACCTTTGAAAATAAAATAACAGACATCAATTCTCGAAAAGCTTATAAAACAACTCCACGGTAGTATGCAGTTGTATGTTCTGCTTCAGCGGTTCACTAAATATTTTATAATAAAACTTGGACAGCCTATTAAACGTTCGGCCACCAAAGAAATATCAATTTATGGAGAAACTACACAGAAATTCCATTTTATGACCTGCATGTTCTCAACACGTTTTATATTAAAATTGAAAAGCATCAGGTCTGCCAATATGAAAAATGAATTAAATCTGAAGCTGTTACAATTAAATTTCCAATTGCTGAAATATATGATATTATGGGAATTCACTCCGGTGTCCTTTCCCCAGAGGAACACCACTGTGAATATTATCTGTGCACCTAGAAAACTCGGTTGGAAAACATCCGAGTATGCAACAGAAGCCTTCTCCCTCATGCATCATAGACAGAATGAAATGAAAAACATGCGCTCTGAAGGCATGTAAAGTTGCTTTTCATTCGAGTCCAAGCACCAACGTTTATGGATCATAAGTCATTCATCAGAACTGAAACAGACACTATAAATACGTCCTAAATTTCACAATAACGTGAAGACCTTCAAGACTAGAAAAGGGTTAACTACTACAATTAATAACAGTCACTTGAAACCGGGGCTTAGCCCAGTTGATTCATGCAGCCACCCACCCTAAGGAGATGGCTTTCAACAAACCTATGGTTCGGATTCCTCGATTCTTGGGCTGTAATTCTTCGTGGCTCATCCACCAGTAAAGCCAACAGTGGGACTTTGTATATTATAACCTAACAAATGCTAATTTTCTAAAATAAACCGAATATGGTTAAAGCTAACGAAGAAATTTGTCTTTCGAATATGCTAAAATCAATAAACCAATAAATTCAAATTTCATATCTACATATATTTCCTCAGCTACAAAACTCATAAATTCAGTTCTACCAATCCAATACAGCAACAGCTAGAAACACGTCACTTTCCTAAAAGCTATCAAAAAATCTAAACTAAGAGCAATGATTAAAGAAAATAGAAAACAAGTTTTTTTTTAATGTACCTTTCTTGTCCGGCGGTATCCCAAATCTGTGCCTTAACGACCTTATCATCGACTCGAATGCTTCGGGTGGCGAATTCGACTCCGATTGTTGATTTGGATTCAAGGCTAAACTCGTTCCTGGTAAACCTGGACAACAAATTCGATTTCCCAACACCAGAATCTCCGATCAACACCACCTTGAACAAATAATCGTAGTCATCATCCGCTCTATACGCCGCCATTTCGGGTCGCCGGGTTCTTTTATGGAATTTTGTATAAAAATGTTGGGTTTATTTTTGGGGAGGAAATTCTAATAAGAAGCAGAGATGGGTGGCAATGGCATTGGTGTGAGAATATTTTTTTTTTTTGAAATTGACAAAAAAGAATAGAGAAATCAAAAATGGGTTTAGATTAATGGGATAGGATTAGGACCTAACCTAAGCGTAAAGATCCGGTCGGGTCAGAAATTTGGATTCAGTGTGGGCCCAATTTCTGAGAACTTTTCAATTTCGCTCTAATTTGGATTCTATTTAAGTTGGTCTTCAAATTTTATAACCAATTTTTAAATTTTAAAACGATACTAATATATATTTTTTTAAAACTATGGGTGTCATTTATTTTAATCATTTTATTAATGTGATGTTAACCCTATTGATTTTAAAAGGTTTTAAGAGTTTAACCATGAATTTCTAAAATACAATTTGTTTCTAAATATTCTGAGAAAATATTTAGAAACTCACGAATTCAATTCTCACGGTCTTTAAAAATAAATACATTTTTTAACCAATAGAATTAAATGTTAATAACATGACCAAAATATAATAACATTGATAGTATTAGTCTTAGTGTGAATATAGAATATTTTAAAATTTAAAACAAAAGTCATAATGTAAAGATTGTTATAAAATATTTTAAAGGCTTAATATTAAAATAAGTGCTCAAACTAAATCAATTTTCTCAAATAGGGGTCTAAATTAATTTTCGTCTCATCCAGGTGCCTAACGTTATAAATGTTACCCATTTAGGCGCTTGGACAGGTAACGATGTTAATTTTCCCGTTAAATGACACGTGTCACAACCTGATAATTTATTTAAAATTTTAAAAAAGTAAAATTATATATTTTTAAAAAACAGAAAACACAAATATTGAAATAAACTCAAAATTTTGAAAACCTTCATTTCAACCCTTAAACCCATACTGGTTGTTGCCTTTTGGCGTCGATGAGCCTCCACCTAAATTTCAACGTTTTAAACCACTCGAACCCTAGGATTAAAATCACGATCCCATGCGATTTCGACGGCCAATCGAAGGAAAATACGACGGCATATGAATAGGAGGATGGTAGGGAATACGTCAGTGGTAGTGGTCGTGGCCGAAAATGCGGAGGCGACAGAGTAAGATTTGGATTTGGGATTTTGGGGCTATTTTATAATATAAGGAAAGTTCGTTTTTTTTTTATAAATATAGTAATATTTGTAATATTTTTAAAAAAGTTAAATTTCAAAACCATCAGATTGAGACATGTGTTACTTAACGGGAAAATTAACATTGTTGACGGCCTGGACACCTAAATGGGTAACGTTTGTAACGTTAGACACCTGAATGAGATTAAAATTAGTTTAGGCACCTATTTAGAAAAAAAAAGTATAGCTCAAGCACTTATTTTAGTATTAAGCCTATTTTAAAAGTTTAAGAATCAATTTATAACATATAATCTGGTTGTATCCTGTACAATTATCATCATTGAAATGAGAATGAATAATTTTTATTAAAAAATAGATCTAAACTCAAGCACACTTTTTTTTTGATTAATTTAGTGTAAGCATAATGCAATATCTGTTAAAAAACAACTCTTAATCATTTGAAATTGAACGCTCACACCACTGGTATTCCTTATGTTTAAACCTAAAATCTCAAAGAATAACATCAATTTTTTTAGCACTGATTTTTACTATCAAATGAAGTTAATTTGAGTATTCTAATATTTTATTCAAATAATTGAATAATATAACCAAATTCTCTTAATTATCGAGAAATCTACTTTAAATTTAATAATTCATATATATATATATATATATATATATATATTTTCATCACGATCTCCCCCAAGCCAAAAAGCCTAGAATCCATCGTCAGGTACAATGTTGATGAGAATGTCAAAATCATGGGGAAGTTCATTCTCTATAGTCTGTATGTCCAACCCAGGCAGCTTCCTTGGCTTGGAAGTGAACTCGTCCACAAGAATACTAGAATGACTTTTTTTGACAAATAATAGTAGAAAGATTTTAACCCTTCAAATATATATATCCATGTATTTATCCTTCAAATAAAAATAATTTATAATAATATTAATTATCAATTATAAAAATGATTTTATAATAATATTAATTATCAATGCAATCTTACTTCTAAACAATAGTATCTATAAGATGCATACACAAAATCTAGACTAACATTAATTGAATGTATCAAATAGTTGGTTAATTCAATTTCGTCGGTACTTTTCCTGTGTCTTTTGTTGAAAGAAATTTGGGGGTCCCAATTTTTTTTAGATGAATATGCACAATTCTATTCCAACTCAAATCAACCAAATACCCAAACAAAAACTCTACAAACCCCAATAGGGGCAGAGCAACCCACATCTAAATAGGCTAGCTAGCCAAACCCCAAGTCAAACAAAGAGAGCTATTAGCAGCCTCACCTGACTTAACCCTCATCCCTCGCAACCTCAAACCCACCAACTCTTTAATCCACAGAAGCAGCAATACCACGGAAATGTCTTCGATTCCTCTCCCTCCAAATACTCGCAATGCAACAATTCCAGGATATTCTCAACAAAATATAAAGCAAAGACTTACATTTCAAAGACTGGCAAGCCCACCTTAACTCTTGATTCCAATCAAATACACCACACTGCCGGCCACAGAGCTGCAACACACTCCTCCAAACAGCCCTTGAAAAACAACAGTAAAAAAATAACTGGTCTCTCATTTCTTGCTCAACCGAACATAACTCACAAACATTATCAACAACCATTCCAAACGAGATAAGCTTAGACTATAACACCCCAAATCCTGGGTTAGCAGTTCGGGTTATCCCGAAACTCGATAGGTGAGCCCATTAGACTTCCTAAGATAGTTTGGATCAATTAGAAAGAGTATTGGGTTTAGGTTAGCTCAATAGCTTTAGGAAAGTGGTGTTTTTAAAAGTAAGTTAAT